GGACAGTGTTTTGTTCTGTTATGCATCAGGTCATTACGAGTCAGTACTGACTGGATGGCACCTAACAACAATAACAACAAAATGTCTAAGCTGCCCATCCCTATCAGACCTGTGTATAGGATTGAGCCTTGATGTGAAGACTCCTTCCCTCTCAGTTTGTTTTTTGAGCTACTACATCCATAAATACAGGTTTGATAGGGATGGGCAACTTAAACACTTGACCTGTATTTGCTAATCCATAAATACAGGTCAGGTTCCTCAAATTGTAGCAATTTACATTTGTTTCTCTCATCAAATTTCATTACCTTCTTCTAGTCGAGTTCTGATCTAAACTACATCAAATGGGTACTATCTACACGTTTGGGCTTTCTTTTATGTCTCCTCTCACTTTATATCAGCTGGAGACTTCATTCTCAACTTTAGCCCTCTGTGACTAGGTCCTTTTCCAATGATTAAGGAGTCCCCAGGTCTCACCACCCTTTGGGCCAACCAGCCTTTCCTCTTCTTTCTCTCATATCCAGGTCTATAGGGGTCTATGGAACGTGGTCAAACTCAGCCCAAATCTTCATTGCTGCCCTCCCCCATTTCCATTCACCAGTAGGTCAACATAGCCATCAGCAAGCTAACATTCCTGCTCCTATGTTTCCTCTGCATTTCAGTCTTGGAGGGAGCTTTGTCCTGAAGGGACTTGATTGCTTGCTTTTATGGCTCCCAGAAAACAACTTACTTATTCTTATAGTAGCCAATCAGACTGAAATTTTTGTTTTTGATTTTTCCTGCTGTTTTTTCTTTCAAAAAGTATCTTCTGTTCCTCTCGCTTCTCCAGGCTGTTCTGCTTGTCCTTTCAAGTTGGAATGTCCCACCTCAGAGGGTTCTGGATGGGGCTCAGAACTCCACCTGAGGTCCTATATGCTACAAAAGCTCTGCAAGAAACCTATTTCACTGGGCAAGTTCTAGAACCCTTTTTTATGTATTGTAATCAGTTATAGGCTGAAGAGGGGCTTACAAGCTTTCTGTAATCATGTTTCCTGACATTTGTTTCTATCCCACTCATGTCCATTTTACAATAGTAGGCAAGAGAAACCAACATTCATAAGACAGTCAAGCATCTTACCATTATTTCCCCTCTTTTACACTGTGCCTTGGTCCTGTATCACAGAGTCCTGTTGTTCCAAGTTTGAGCACACATCATTACTTACCTCTCTCCTATTTAGCCCATGCAACCCTTCTTAAGTGTTCCTTATCTATCTTTTTCTTCCATCGCCCTCCCCCTTCTTGTATATTGCCCTCCCCAACACCTGAACTTTGATGTGTCTATCTCCTACCTTGTGTTCTACTGTCCCTTCCTTCCCACCCCTGATAACCAAGAAAGACTTTTTTTTTTCTTTTAATATGGATATCTTTTCTTAACTTTTTACAATAATGGTCTTAAGCAACATTTGTCCTTTTGTGGCTGACTAATTTCACTCAGTGTAACGTCCTCTAGTTTCATCCATGTTATGCGGTGGTTTGTAACTTCCTTGTTATTCTTCAAGGTAACATAATATTCCATTGTGTGTATGTACCAAAGTTTGTTTATCCATCCTTCTACTGATGGACACTTTGGCTATCCCCATCATTTTGCTATTGTGAATAGTGCTGTGATAAACATTGGTCTGTTGCTTTCTTTTCAAGGTCATTATTTTTCAATGAACAAAAAAATCAGCTCCATATTCTTACAAGTGGATAAAAACTTGATTCTCTGCCATATGATGACAAAGATAAAAAAAAAAAAATAGTGTGGCCTGGTTGTTAGCAAGGCTTAAGTCATGACTAATTACTTAATCTCTCAGTGCCTTGTTTTTCTCATCTATGGGGATAATAAGTATCAATCTTAAGACTTTTTATTTTTCTAAAAATCAAAGTGTATTCACTATAACACATAGCAAAGTGTTTGGAGTATATTTGTTAGTTTTTTTAAAAAGTTGTTATTGAGAAACAAAGTTAAAGTTTTGCATGTTTACATATCTTGCCAGAAGAAAACTATTTCATTCTTTTCAGGGTCTTGAATTTGACACTTTATGGGTAGAGTAATGAATGCAATTACAAGGAGGTAAATTTGGGACTCAGCCTAATATAAAACTATCTAGAATTAAAATTGTCTTAAGTGGTAATGAAATTCCACTGAAGCAGTAAAATCATCATGATGGATATTACAGAGAGAATTCAAACCTTTTAATCAGAGCTTGAATGAAGTGTCTTTCAAACACATTTAAGCCCTGAAATGTTAGTTTCTCTAGCTTTCATTCTTTTTGTTTTTTGTTTTCCTTCGGTGTTATGAGTTCATATCTAACCAAGTGGTTGTATTTTAAGTCTTCAAAAATCAGACTGTGGCAATAACATCGTTTTGCTCATATTAGCAGGATCAGTGTCATGAATTCCGGAGTTTGCTGAGAGGAGGGAAACTGATCTGCACCAGAGAAAATGACCCTATTCGAGGCCCGTATGGCAAGATGCATGTCAACAAATGTGCGATGTGTCAGACCATCTTGTATGTGAAGAGATTTATGGATCTATTTGATATAGTGTGCCAGTTTGTTCAAAAATAGTTCCTCTTACTTTAAAACCTAAGACACTTGGCATCATATAGTAACAATATAATAGTCACTTTTCATGTTTGTAGAGGACAACACATTTCCAATGCAATTTCAAAGATATTTTAATTTTGAATATGAGAGACATAATCATACCTGGAGCCAATGGGCTAGGAAAGACAGCTGTGGTATAATGGCAATATCATTGACATTAAAGTCACTGACTTTTCAGCTTACCTAAGTAAATCATCATTATACTTATACCTGTATTATATATATAGTTGGTGTTAGCTGTTGTTGAGTTGACCCCAACTTATGGCAGGTATAATACAACAAAATATTGCCCAGTCCTATGTTATTTTCACTGTCATTGTCATGTTTGAGTTCAGTTAGGCAATATGATATTCTGATCAATAGAGTTTTTGCTTTAGAAATATGTTGCCATGTTTGCCTTCCTAGTCTGTCTTTGTCTGGAAGCTTCATTGACATTTGTCCACTGTGAGTGACTCTGCTGGTATTTGAAATACTACTGGCATAACTTGCAGTATCATAGCGACATGCAAGCTACCACAGTACAACAAACTGAGAGACTATTATAGATAACAACAAACCATTACACATAGATGTATAATAAAAAACAAAAGCATATAGATTTTTTAAGAGCCAAGGAGATAATATTTGTAAAAATGTTTATAAATCTCAAAATGCTATAGCTAGGTAAGCAACAATTAAACTGTAGTATTTAATTACAGTTTAAAATATAAAAGAGAAAAATAAGTCAACTTTCTTCGTGAAAGCTATTAATACCTTTAAGGAAAAAATAGTCCTTTAAGATTACACCACTTTCAATCATGTTTTAATAACTGAATTGATAAATGTTGATTACATTGCTAAACATATAAAAATTTCAATCAGATTGACTAGTTAAAAACATATTTTTAAAAGACTTGAGTAAATAATGTTGTATTTCCCAGTGTTTAGAATTAGTACATACTTAGTGAAATAAAATCTTAAAAGAACTAGTAAAAAAACACTCCTATCTTATTTTGTTTTGTTTTTTCTCCAGTGAGAGAGAAGCTAATGACAGAAAAAAGAATGATGAAGAAAAATCAAGTACCAAACCCTCAAATGACTCAAAGGTTATTTCTTAAGAGATATCATTCATTTACTTTCACCCTCTGTATCTTACATTCTGGCACTGTAGGATAAGCACTGGACTGCTATCCATAAGTTCGGTGGTTCAAACCCACCATTTGCTCATTGGAAACCCTATACTGGGTCACCATGGGTCAGAACAGACTCCATGACACATTAACAGTATCAACAACTTTTATTTCAAAAGAAATTGGTTTCTTTCTGGCTTTAGAGTGTGATACTTTTGTAGATTTTTGCAGAGATTCTCCAAGAGTGTGTGTCAATGATTGTTTTAGACAATCATCTTTGGGAAAGTGTAGTTTGAAAAACTAGAGGGTTGCATTCTTCACCATCTGAGCTGCATTCTTATCTATGAGACATTTAATGTGAAAAGAGGCTTTGGATAATTTGTAGACACTGATTTTATAATTTAAGTAATGCAACTGAATCTCAAACCTTACCTTAGCTTCTTTCCTTGATGTCTTTTTCTGTTTTCTCCTTCTCATCAGAGAATGAATAGCCTGGATGAGAGATGCTAGTTTTTCTATTTGCTTTTGGCTGAAATCTTCATTCAGTCATTTAGTAGTGATAATCACTTTTGCAGAATTAGATTTCTATAGGATTGCTCTTTGGTTAAAAAGTTACCTCATGTGGAAAATGGGGAAAAAGAAGAATGGATGCTAGGTCAGAAGTAGATAATAAGGTTTATTAAGTGCTATTTTGTGTTTCCCTTACATTACCAGGACCAATGCAAAGACGATCCAAATGAAGCAGGAAATGGAAAACTTAGACAGTCTCAACGTCCCCTGGCCTTCATTGCTAGAATAACTTCAGTGAGTCTGAATCCTAAGAATATACTTCTTAAAACTAAGTTTCAGAAAAATTGCAAATCAAGAAGGTAAAAGCTGTGTTACCTTCCTTATTCTCATTTTTTTTCAGGATGAGTGCAGTAACTTTCGGGATTATGTTAGGAACGAGCAGCTCGTCTGCACTCGAGAAAATGACCCTGTGCGTGATATGGATGGAAAGTTCTATAAAAACAAATGCTTCATGTGCAGAGCTCTCTTGTGAGTAAGAGTTTTCCTCTCCTTCTTCAGCTAGCCCAAGGATTATAGTTCTAGAAACTGCTGATTTAGTAAATTTATGAATCCATAGGGACCTTGAAATACATCGTTACATTCAAGGTCTTTTAAGTTGAGAACACTGATACAATAGAGTATTTAGAGTTAGTGACATGACTTCGGAATTCAAGTTCTAATCATGATACCTACTAGTTGTGTCACTTAAAACAACAAGGAAGAACCTCCAACTCTTAAAATAACAATTTTAAAATTGTGTCCAAGATTTTCTTTCTGCAACCAGACTGGTCATCAGAAATCAGTCTTTTTCAAAATACAAACTTTTGCACACCAAAACACATTAAATCAGACTATCCAAGGATAAAGAATCCTTTTATTTAGACAGGATCTTCAGGTGATTTTGACAAATACCCAGATGTTGGGACAAACAGGTATGATAGCTAATGATTGATGATGATGATGATGATGATGATGATGGGGATGAGGATTATAAGGATGGCTGTCCTAAACTCGGTGAACACAACAATAATAATCAGCATGTAGTTACTTTTTCACAGTAGGTTCTTTGAGGCAGGAATTCATATTACCCTCTTTATGTTCTAGGAAATCCCAATTCAGGGAGTTTAGACATATCAAGTCTAATGTGATTAAGTGATGAGACCTCTAACTCAACTTCTAGTTGTATATGTTTTTTAATAGATGGCTCTGGTCACTTTCTTGTGGAATGTTTTAAAGCTTCTATTATGTTTTATTAGTATTGCTTAACTTGGTACGTAGTGGTTACGGATTGGGCTATGAACCTCAAGGTCAGCAGTTCGAAACTACCAGCTGTTCCGCGAGAGAACGATGAGGCTTTCTGCTCCCATAAAGATTTACAGCCTCAGAAACCCTGTATAGGGTCGCTATGAGTTGGAACATAACAAATAACAACAGCTTCATATAGGCATGAGTTGCTGGTTCTTTTAAATGCATTTAAAATTACTTTTTGTTTCCTTCTCTAGCCAAAAAGAAGCTTTAGAAAAGGCAAGAATTATAGAAAAGCCAACCCACAGTAGAGCTTCTGAAGAAGAACATAGCACAGATTCCCCCCACTATTCTCTGGTAAGAATGACAAGTTCTTAAAAAAGATACCCATCTAATTAGTACTCTTGGTGTTTTCAGGCCTGTTGCTACTTTCTCTCCCTAAACCCCAATTATGTAGAAGGCTGGAAAGACTGGTTCAGTGTAGCCTTGAGTTCTTTCATGATTAAATGCAGTTCATGGAATCCTGGGGTGACACTGTGAGATAAAATACTGGACCGCAAGGTTTGTTTGACCCACAAGACCAGTGGCTCAAACTTACCAGCTGCTCCTTGGAAACCCTATTCAGGGTCACTATGAGTCAGAACTGACTCTAAAGTACTTGAAAAAAACAGCAATGAAAATGGTTGGTAAGAATTCTGGGTTTACTCATCAGTGTATTATTCTGTGTTCTTTGAGAATGTTAGGCCATCTCCAAGCCAATTTTGTACATTTTGGACATTAAAATCATTATGTATGATGAGTGTAACTGATCTTACGTGTGGCCAAGTAAGAAGTTAGTTCTATAATTTGGTTCTGTAATTTCAGGAGATCAAAAGTGAGCTCAGCACACTTTCTTTAAATCCTTCCTGCAGTCAAACCCCCTCTTCCCACCCCACCAAAGCCTGGAAAGATATTCCTAACCTACTTATATTTGTGAAATTCCATCAATCAGCAATTCATAGTAGTTAAACGTTTTTATAAAAATTTACACTGTAGGGCAGCAGTGATGTATTCTTCTTGGTGTTGTTAAGTGCCATTGAGTTGGTTCCAACTCACAGCAACCCTGTATAGGGTTTCCAAGGAACAACTGGTGAGTTTGAACTGTCCACCTTAAGGTTCCTACTGACCTTGTGGACTAGTATTTATCTTACAGTGGATGTATTGCTTAGTATAAATTAGCCTAATCAGTTTTATATTTTAGGATTTTGGAGCATAAGGGTTGGCAAGGTAATGGGGAGATAAGAGCATCAGATAGAGTCACAAAGTGGTAAAATCTTAAGAAGTGATTTTACCATTTGGGATGAAGATCTAGGAATGGAGAAAGAAAGGCATCAAACATAAATTTTATCTAAGGATTTTCTCAATTTAGCTAGGATAATAGGTGAGCTGCATAAGTTTAATAAACATTAATTATTTACTTCCAGTTAATTTAATTGGACACTATAATAGGGATTTCTACATGTAGAAAATAACTATTCACGAAATCTGTTCTTACATTTTTTATATTAAAGTAGAATTATTGTTGTTAGTTGCTGTTGTGTTGAGTCTGATTCCTGGCTATCCATGTGTGCAGAGTAGAACTGCTCAATCAGTTCTCAAAGTTGTGACCTTGAAAGCAGATTGTCACATCTGTCTTTGAAGGTACCTCTGAGTGAATTTAAATAACTATCCTTCCAGTTAATAACCTTGCACTGAACTATTTGTTTCACCAGAGGACTCCTAAAGTATAATACTCAGAGGGGAAATTAATGATATCATAAATTTATAGCTAAATGAAATATCACAAAGTTATCACACTTATGTCACCAGCACCTAAGTCAAGGAATAGGACAGCTCTTACAAACTAGAAACTCCCTTATGCTTTCTTGTGTTCCACAATATTTTCTGAGTTGACTTTTATGAGGGTCATATTTATTATTCACTATTTTGCTCATCCAACGGTCCACTTATTCATCCAACAAATTCGTGTTGAGTGCGTAATATGTTCCAGGCATTATTCCTCTGTGCTTGGCCAATAGTCATAAACAAAACATACAGAACACTTCACATGCCTTATTAGATTGGAGAAACAGAGCCAATAGGCAATGTGACTAAGTGAATAGTGCCAGAGAGAACATAACGCAGAAAAATCATATAGCAAATGTTGAGAGTAGAGGAGGGGAGATATAATTTTAAATAATGAGCATAGGGAAGAATGCTTCAAATGGTTACATTTTACCTGTAAAATGTAAAAGATATATTCCTTATGCATACCTGAGGGGAGAATATTCCAAGAAGGGGAATGTCAAATAGCCTTGAGGAAAATGTCACAGAACAACAAAGAGTCCAGTGTAGTTGAAATGGGGTGACTTCATGAGAGGAAGTCAGACAGGTAAAGAGAGATCATGTTATAATGGATTTTCCAGACCACTTGAAATATTTGGGCTCTTACTCTGAGTGAAGCTTTTTAAAAGAGTAGTGAATTAATTTGATTTACATTTTAAAAGAATAACACTGACTGGTATATTGTAAATACATTGCAGGGAGGCAAGGGGAGAATATGGTCGTTGCCTTAATTTATAAATTAGGTAATGAAAAAATACATAATTGTAATAGTGGTAGAGGTCATGAGATATGGTTGTATACTGCATATTTTTAAAGGTATAATCAACAGAATTTTTTTTTTCACAGAATTGATGTAGCATGTAAGAAAAGAGAGAGAGACAGTATCTGCCTTTATTCTCTCTGCTCATTCTTTGTATTGTTTTCTATTGGTAGTTTTGAACTCTGGAATAACAGGATTCTGAAGAATACTAAGGGTATATCTGACTGTTCTATTCATGCCAAGGTTTTTGTATAAATTCTCCCTGGGTAGCTATACTGAATTAGAACCCTCCACCATCTAAAATAGTTTATTTAGATATTTAGCAAAACAAACCAGAAAATACATCTTTCATCTTCTGTAATAAATTTCAGTAGATATAATACTGTTAAATTTGTTAGTCCTTCTCAGTATCTGTTTCAGATAATGGTTGAATAGGATTACTAATTTCATTTTGGTTACCAAACTCATGGGAGTCCTGGTGTGGTGTTGTGGGCTAATACGTCAGACTGCAAAGTGGTTTGAACTGTATGGTCGGTGGGTCAAGCTCACGAGCTGCTCCTTGGAAACTCTATACAGGGTCACTATGGATTGGAATTGACTCAAAGGCACTTAACAAAAACAACAACCACATTCATTGGCATATAATTATTTGTTACATTTCTACACTATTTTAAGATAGACACTATATGTATTGATGTCCCCTTTTCTTTCTTTACTTTGTTGTTGCTGGTAAGTGCTGTCAAGTCAGTTGTGATTCATAGTGACCTTGTTTATGGCTTCCAAGGAGTATCTGGTGGGTTTGAAACTCCAACCTTGAAGTTAGCAGTCCAGTGCTTATCCTACAGTGCTCACCAGAATTCCTTTACTTTAGACAATACATGTTTATTAAATTACAGTTTGGGATGTCAGAAGTCTAAATGTATGATAAAATATAATAATAACCATACCATGGTTCAGGACAACCTCTAAGGTTGAGACTGCTCTAGGAGATCCAATGGAACAGACTTCAACTGTTGTCATAAAATCAAGCTATAGCCTCTGCATTTGCTGCCTTGGCATTCATTAATTCCTCCTAGTTTCTCTTTCAGAGTTCTGGTGCTACAGTAGGTTAAACATTAAACTGCTAACTGAAAGGCCAGCTGCTTCATGGGAGAGAGATGTGGCAGTATGTTTCTTTAGATTTTAAAGTCTCAGAAATCCTATGGAGCAGTCCTCCTCCTCCTGGAGGGTCATAATGAGTCTGAATCAACTCCACAACAGTGGGTTTAGTTGTTTTTTTTCATTTAGTTTCTGATATGGCGGTTCACCCAGTCTTTCAATAATATACTAATCATACCTTGTTCCTCTGGGCCACAACCCATATGCTGTGGTGGTTGTTTTCCCCTTTTAGGTCAATTTTGTAAAAAAGACTTATCAATTTATCATTATTTTCAAACAATCAACTTTTGGTTTTGTTCTGTTTTCTATTTCATTGATTTCTCGTTTCTTTCTGTCTTTTCTATTATTTTTGGGAGGCTTAATTTACTCATGATTTTCTAGCATCTTGAGATGGACATTTAGATTATGAATTTAAACCTCTCTTTATTTCTAGTACATGTACTTAAAATAATTACTCTAGCTCTGGGATTTGGTTGATTATATTTCATTTTAATCAGTTCAAATTATTTCTAAATTTTATTATGATTGCTCCTTAGAAGTGTGTTGCTTGATTTATGAACACTTGGGTAGTTTCTAAAGATCATGTTGCTTACTAGTTTTATACTATGATAATAATATATACCCTAGTTTAATGCTATATATTGAATACTAGTTAATAGGTTTCCTGGGTGGTGCAAATGTTTCAGTACTTTACTACTAACTAAAAGGTTGAACACACTTTAGAAGACAGACCTAGTGATCTGCTACCAAAGGTCACAGCCTTGAAAAAATACAGAACATTTCTATTTTGCACCTATGATGTCACCATTAACCAAAATTGACTTGACAGCATCTAGCAACAGCAAAATGTATAATTCCTTTGTGGTTAGAGAACTTAATTTTTAGGTCTTCAATTCTTTGAATTGATTGACACTCATTTAACAACCTATTTTGTTAGTTTATTTCATATGGTATCATGTATCGGTATTTCAATCCTTTTTAAGGTTTGAATATAATTTGTTTTTATTATTAAAACCTGAAATTTAGAAATCTATTCATTAATTGATGAACACTTGGGTTATTTCCATCTTTCACCTCTTGGTAATAGTGCTACTATGAACATGTATTCAAATGTGATTCTGGAAAACAAAACTTTTTCTTCTCAAGCCAATCTAAGTCTTGAGTTTCATTGAGTAAGTCTGCTTTATTTTTTGCTTGTTCAGGATTCTGATATGTGTAGAAACTACCGAATATTGCCCAGGATGGGTTACCTTTGTCCAAAGAACTTTCAGCCTGTCTGTGGTGATGATGGCCAGACATACAACAATCCCTGCATGCTCTGTCATGAAAACCTGTAAGTGCACAATTCATTCCAGCATATCTTCCAGTGTGGAGACTCTCATAAATAAACTTGACCCCCAGCAGTGCAGTGATATTAATTTGAGATGTGTTGCAAGTAATTTATTAATCATCACACTTTAGATTTACAAGTTTCTGAATGATTGTATTTACACATAAAATAAAAAGGGCCTTCAAAAAGTTCATGAAAAATTGAATT